AAATATAAGCCAAAAAGTAAAACTGCCCTCCACTTATCGTGTTTACAAGGAAAGTGCACGGCGCCGGCATCGCCATCGCCATCGGCGACGACAGACGCAGGTGATGGCAATATGTACAGACACATCTGTGTCTGTACATAAAAAGTTCTCTGGTGGGAAAAACATTTTTTCAGTATTTTAGAATGAGGTCTTACTTTAAAGAAAGAACAGTGGTCAGGCAAGTATAAAAATGGCTTTTAGAATGCAAAATTTAACATTCAGTTTCTAATTATTTTTGTAAAACTTCCACTTTGTGTGATCAATAAATGCAAATATCATCTTCAGGTTTCAAAGTTCTTTATTCAGTATGTCTTTATTCCTTATAACCCCTCATCATCATCATACAAATTAGTCTGTAGAACATATAATTTGATTAAACTTGCTTATGAGACGCAAGCATTAGCTACTCTTAAATTGTGGAAATTTATTCTTTTTTTACCAAATGTGAAAAAGGCATTGTTATTGGTATGGTATGTGGAAAAATTTATGATTGACCCCAGGAAAACCCTTAAATGATGTTGTTTTTATTGCTTTGCAATCACCTAGAGCGATTAGAGAGTGCTTAATGTGTGCTCGGCTTCTGGTAGCTTTTTCACTTTGTTTTTAGTTTAGCTGATAACAGATCATATCATACAAAATCATTTTCATTAGGTGTAATCTAATTGCTTTACGATAGTCTTCGCCAGTTGGAGAGCAAGATGGTAAAATGGGAGTGCATTTTTATTTGAGTACAAATGTTGAATTTTGAACCACCTTTACTGGAGAAAGAGCAAGAGTGAGCGAGAGGGACTAGTGGGTTATGAGTGGACAGACAGCAGCAGAACATAATACCAAACACTTTACCAAATTTGTAGATAATGTTTATTTTTAATATAACTGATACATCTTTATTTTAAACAAAATGTATAAATTGTTCCCCCCCCCCAATGTTCTTATCAAAATATTACAGACAATAGTATTATTAAAACCTCACAGACAAACCAAATGTATCTCTTAATTATGACACTTTTTACACCATTTTGATCTTTTGGGATAATAACACCCAAGCCCAATATAGAGATGCAACTGAGGTCACAGGCATACTCTTAAAAATATTTAGTGCACAGATTGCTAACTACTTCACTTAGTTATTCTTTGTATACACTTCTTGAATATATAAACATACATGTTTATAAGTAGCAATAAGCTCAAAAAACAAAACGAAAAAACTTAGAACACTCAGTCTGTTAATTCATCACTGTGACATTCACTTTCGCATTCCTTTATAGTAACTTCTTGGATATGGATATGTGCTCTAGCCTCGTAGGTTTGACATTCACAACAAAATTTAAGTATTTCATAATTTTAGGAACTGTTAGAAATTTAAAACTTATCAGATGCCACAAAATCATTCAATTTTGTGTGAAAATTGGGAATGTCATGAGTGAACAACAAAACTATGCATGAGATTTCAGAGAAGCTTATAATATTGGAAAAAAAAGTTCACAGCAGCTATGCAGCAATAATCCTTAAGAATTTGGTACACTTCTGATAAAAAAAATGTGGACAAGTGTCTAATGAACAGTCCTCTGATAGTTTTCTGTTTGAAGTGAAGTGCTCAGTGATCCTAAGAATTGTTATCATGCCATCAGAAATTTTAGAACAGACGGATGTCCATGCCGCTGTCCTGAAAGACAAAATTGCAGGAAATTTTGAAGGAACTTAAACACTCTTTGTTATCCCTGTATTGTCAGTGTTGTTTCATTGCAAAAGTTGTCAAATTAATGATGTGTGCATCTGTAATTGTGTGCCCCCTTGTGTGTGTGTGCGCACACACACTTAGGTCTACATAGCCAAATTGTTTGATATGTAGTGCGAGTTGGTTTTCGACAAAATCTTGGATAAAATACTTCACATTTCCATAGACATTATTAGATTACCTGTATACAGATGAAAGCTTACTATCCTGGAAAAAATACTACATTCAAGATCATATATGATACTTATA